ATACATTCGAGCTAGGTGGGAGGCAAAAATTTGCATCCGAGGAAGCTGCCAGCAATGTGCCGCAGGGCCTCCTCGTCCTTGTCGGAGTCAGAGTCTAGCCCAGCGAGCACTCGAAGCGATTCGAGCTAAGATCTGGTGTAGGATACTGTAGGCAGCCCAAAGTGGCCCTGCAACGGAGATGGAAAGACGGAGACTCAGAAGCCGCAGGTGAAATGCACGGCTTCTGATGGCACGTAGCCCCTTGCCATAGCTCCCTACTGAGTCTTAACCGTTAACCTTAACCACAGATCCCTCAACACCTAGCCACCAAAAGACAAAAAGCCAAGCACCACCCTCAACTCATCTAGACCCTCAATGTTCAAGGACAGCCGCTCCAACATTCGTCCCTCCGAATCTTGAATCTTTACATCTTCTCGAGACCCTCAACCCTAATAGTCCGGGTGTGAGTCTCAACAAATAGGGTTTGGCCGGCAGTAACCCTAATGCTTCGGGCTCGGGTATGGAACAAAGAGCCTCGGGAGGCTGCAGCCCGCACGCGGGTAAAGCTTAAGCCGGAAGCACTGCACTGGCACTGAACCTTTGGGTCCCTAAGTTGTAGACTTCCTACGTTTCACTTTTCTCAGGAAACACAGGGTTGGGAAGTAGGGAGAAGGAGTTTTGCCAAGAGGTCCTCTGATCTTGCGGCCATCTTGTTGGGTGACTTCCTTCATTAACCTTGGAGGCTGCACTTTGGAGCAAGGCCGCGTCACGACCCCTTCTAGGCTAGAATGTTTGAAGCTGAAGGAAGACACTTGGGGGCTGAAGGGCTCTCTAGTTGAGGCTGTTCCTAGCTCAACGGTTACGAAAGAACACAGAATGAGAGGAAGGGTGTCTGCTCAGTGTTCCTAAACGTGATTAAACCCGGACACAGCTCGTGCTTGTGTTGTTATTATTTGAGCTTGGGCTGTCAATTCCTTCTTGTGCGATGCCTGAGACAAGAAGCCTTCCGGCCTGAACTTGTTTCGCGCCTTTGGAGCTGGGAGACCGGCAGGCAAAGTTGGAAACCCTGTTGCATGCCCCGAGAGCCCAACAATGCAAGACCTGCCCTAGACCCCAGGCCCTGAACACCCAGGTAAATGGATTCCCAGCTTGGTCTTGTGCATCGTGTGCTTTGGGAATGCTCTCGCCACGACGGCTGCATGGGACTGGAAAGCACATGACCCAATGCCGTAAATCCTAAACCAGTTTTCAGAGTTGAAACCCTGAAACACCAGAAGGCTTTGGCCTTGCAGGAAAGGCTTTTGCACGCCATTGTGGTTTTAAGGGCTTCCATGTTCCGGAAGTTTTTAGCAGCCTCTTGTTCCGAGCATTCGTACTTTCAGGATCAAGCACAAAACAGACTGAGTGTGGGAGAAACCAAGTGGACATGTACGATCGTGCGTACCTGTTGTGCGAGAACTCTAACACTTCTTAGCCTTGATTCTGCTGCTTCGGTGTCTCCTTTGGTCGACCCTTGTTCTTAAATGCAAGAAACTGGAGCAATGCAGTAATGCAGTGGTATAGGCTCGCCAGATGAGGGGTTTTAATCCTTTAGGGGTCTGGCCATTAACAGGCGGAAGAAACGTAGTAGGTGCAGGGTCCTTGAAAGGAGAGGAGAAAAGGCCATCATCCTACGTGGCGGCAGCAGAGGCCTACGTTTGCATGGTCGGCGACTTGATCTCCATGTGCCTACCAGGCGGGTTGATGGTGGCTGTAAGCAAGCTGCCCATTGCCCAAGGGTATTGTGCCGCTACCGTGTAACTGGTCTGTTCAAGCTTCAGAGCAGGCAGATTTGTGCAACAGCTTCTTTCGTCCTAGCTGCAGAACACAGTCAAATCGTAAGGGAAGCAGAAGCAGGTCGCACCTGAATCAACCGCCATGCTCATCTTTGCGAAGTCTTGCGTACAGTGAGTCTGCTTTGTAAGGCTTTCTTCGTTCCAAACACTTCGTCTTGCAACTGTCGCCGCGGATTTGAGGCCTTACAGTAGCTTTAACCCCACTGGCCCGGACGCCTCATCATGAGCCGGAGTTTGACCCTGCAACAAAACCGACCCCTAAGCCTCAAAGGCCGAAACCCAACGTCCTGATTTGGAGGATTTGGGATCTCTTTCCTCAGTCGCTCCTCGTGCATCGCCATCTTGGCCGTCTTCTGACCAAAGCTAAGGGGTTTAGGTTATTAGTACTTTGTTATACTTATCATGCATAGTCATAGTATTTTTTATATATTAGTATTATCAGCATTACTATAGGTACCGTTATTTCTGATGACTGACTAGCATCATTGACATTATTTTTGTTTCATTATGGTTGCCAGTTTCCGTATTAGTGTTGTCATTGTCTTTTTGTTAACGGGTTTTGGAGTTTGCGCTCCTTCGCCTGGTCGCATATGCAGATGCGTGATAGACTCCTCTCACCCCAAACCGCCAACCCTCTAATTCCAGATGCAGCATCGCGTCGCTATTTCTGCTAGTGCTAGTATTACTCTTAAAATATACGGTATGTGCAATGTTCATCATTCCTATTCGTAGTTGTAGTTTCATCAGCAAAGCCGGATTTAGTCGTGACTCGACCAGGTGTGTCAGGTCATCACTCTTTATCAGAATTGCCGGCCCAGGTTTTCCCGTTGCTCCCGCTCTGTATGCTGTGCCTTGGCGGCATTTTGGAGTATACTCGTCGTGGCAGCAGGAAGTGTTCTAGCTTTTCCCACGTAGAGATGCAAGGGCCAGGGTAGACCGAAGCCGGCGCTCGAACTCAGAGAACCATGGGTCAGGAAAGACCTCTCTGCCTTGGCTCCGACATCATTTTTGGCGCTCTTAGCGGTGCTCCTTGGATTCCTTGGGGCGTTTTTTTTTTCTGTCATGTGACTGGAGCATGACGCACAGCGGCCAAAGCTTGTCGTCGCTCGTTGCGACTGTCCCGTAAAACCTGATAATCGGAAGCCTAGTTTCTTATCGAAAAATATTCCTCTGCATTCCTCCTTGCATCAGCCTGGGCACTTGTCATCATTTTGTTTCAACATCAAACTTGGGCCGCTTCCCGCAGTGCCGAAATCCATGGCTCCAAGAACGTCTGAGAGCAAGTTGTAAATGACACCACTCGTCCTAGGCCGAGCCAGATCACGTGGTGGCCCACGGGTATAACATTTAGGGAAACTACCAGAGACTATAGGGAAGCTACCAGAGTATGTCTTCACTGTGTTGCCAGGAAGAGCCGGGAACCTTGAGGATCCTGAATTCCCTGAATTCCCGGCATCTCAAGACCCGACACCCCAAGGTTCTGGATGATCGTCATGACTCTTGCCTTGGGCAGCAGGGGCGGCCGGATTCATGAACAGGCTTCGGGATCTAGGATGTAGCCTTTCCTCTTGAGAGAGTTTGTGTGTTGGGTTCCGGCTTTCGCTATGTTTTGGTCTTTGGAGTCGGGTCATGAATGCGGCAAAGACTTCTTGTGATTGTTGTTTTAAAGTGATCATGATTGTGTGTCAGTAATTGTCTCATCGCAACTGTTGTCAAAGGCTTCGTTTCAGTTCAGCTTTACCCTCCGAGCCGAGGCTTATGGGCGGTAAGGCTGTAAGGCTGATGGTTCCGAGACTTTAAGCGGCCTGTGTCTCCCCTGCCTGAGGTGGTTTTCTGCGTTCAGCTTTCTGAAGGCTTGCAGTACTTCCCTCTCGCATGTGCTTGCTTTCTGCTCGTGCTTTGAATCTCCATTGAGGCTGAGGCTTCGATCCTTGTCTAGTCCAGGCCCGGAGCACCACAAGGATTGACGAGTTTCGGTGTAGGGGATATGCCGTGTTTGTAGGAGCCGAAGCTCTATGTTCCTAGGTGACACTCCCCGTCCCCTGAGCCGAGGAACTTTAGTCCCCCAAGACTTTTCTGGCGTTTGTCCGGATGTTTGAAGCTTCCCCCCATGCTGGCAACCCTCCAGAAGCTCAATGTCGTCCCAAGGATGATAATCCGTTACGTCGATGGCTCCTATCTTCCAGGTGCTTCCCGTTCAATTCGTCGCTGAGGGTATCGAGCAGAAACACCAGACCTTAGAACACGGAGTGTTTAGTCGTGATTCTTGGAGAAGGCTGGAGTAAGTGTAACCATGGGACATTATCTGACAGCATAAACACTAAGCACATCTACTATGCAGTGGGATGTGGGAGCTCTGTTGGTGTGCTTGCTACCGATCAGGGTCTTGGCATCGCGTATTGTTTCATGTCCGTGCAGCCACATCAAATGTAACCTGCAGGACCTCGTGTTATGTAGGCCTCGGAGCTCTCCTGCAGGTGGGCAGTACCATGGATTCCCTGCACCACGAGGGCATGCTGGGTACTCAGCGATGTGCCGGTGAATCATAACGCCCACGCGGAGACATCAGGGTCTTCAGGTATGCCGACTTTGTCTTTCAGCACATGTGCAAGAGGCAGACGCAGGTAGGCAAGTCGCCGTACAGAGGAAGGCCGCATCTTTTGCACTGAAGGTGTATGTGATGGCTCAGGTGGGGAACATGGGCTTCTCCACGCTTATCTTGGTGGACAACTTGGCCGTGGCCTTCCTTTGCCGGGGGCTGCAGCATGTCTCGGAGTTTCCTAGTCGTCGTGGTCGTTGTCGTAGTGCTGGTAGCTATCATCGTCCTAGCAAGCTATAAGCGGCCATAGGATCATGCAGCAACAGAAGGCTTCTTCGAAACTTTCGAAATGTGGACACGTCGAACACTGAACCCTGCAGGCGTACATTGAGAAACATAGGTGCGAGCATTTGTCGCGGTTTTACGGGTTACCCGGAAGCACATGTGTTGCGGCAGGGTAGTGCCATTCGTGAAGCATGAATGCCTGCAGCCCAGTCTGGCTTGATACACCTCACAGACACGTGTGGGAAGGTCCCCGCTGCATGCTAGCTTGTTCAAAGAGCTGCTGCAGCTGCAGGTGCTGATCACCTTGTAAGGATCTCGAAGGTCAGCCAACGGACTCAGCCGTCCAAGGTCTCGTGCTGCTGATGGGCCCCATGGCCGTGCCAGCGCATTCGAGTAAGAACACCTCCCTGATCGCCATGCTGCCACATCGAGAAGCTGCACTGGCACGGGCTGTGTCCGACATGCGTAAGGCCGCAGCGGAGGTGCAGAAAGCTTCAGCTGAGCTGTCGATTTGTGAGGCTGCATGGCTCACAGCCTATGAGGCCGCTTTGCGGATGGCTGAGAACGACGCAGAAGCATGCGCGGTTCGAAGGGCAGCCACAGAACTCAAGTCGCAGCCCGGGGTTTGCTACAACACCTTGCGAACCTTTCATGATGAAATTGAGTGTTTGACACCGTCCCCTGCCGAACCTGGGAGCCTGCCTTCAGAGTCGCATGGCCAAGAACACGGACACTCCCACGATGATGAGTTCCATACTGCCAAGCATCAGCTTGAACACCGCTGGATTGAGAAGACGGCCTTCAGCGCAGCGGAGCGCGTGGTGGAGCGGATGACCGAGCGCATTACTGAGAGCATGGGCGAGCGAGTTGGCGAGCGTCTTGCGGAGAGGGGCGTGGAGCGACTTGCCGAGAGGGGCGCGGAGCGCCTAGCTGAGCGGGGCGTGGAGCGGCTGGCAGAGCGTGGTGCCGAGAGGCTGGCTGAAAGGGGTGCCGAAAGGCTTGCCGAAAGAGGAGCGGAACTAGCATTGGAGCGGGCCGGGGCGGGAGCTTTGCGACACATCTTGGGCAGAACTATTGGCGAGACTCTGAGGATGGGAGAACATGCAGCCATGCATACCTTGAAGGCCTTACGCGTCATTGTCCCTTTCGTGGGCATGCTCTTCGTCATACATCTGGCTGAACATGACTGGCATCGCCTGCTCGAGGAGTGGAGGGCCCGACGTGCTCTCTCACTTGCCTTTTTTTGCATGGCCGTTCTGGGCGACGTCGCCGACATCCTTTGCCACGTGTGCGTGATTTCTTCTGGCATTCTTCACGTGGACCACCACGCGTTGCACACAATCGAGCCACTTGCATTCAAGAACTTTCATGGCCTGGCACGTGCTGCAACATGTAGGTTCAATCTAGGTTTTCGCACAGAAGAACGAGGCGCGGAGATCCTCAGGCCCTGTGTCCAGCATTGAGTTGTGAGTATCCACCTATAGCCTATAAGCCAACATCCGAGCAGGGTCGAGCAGGCCTACGTAGATGAGTGGGGGGGAAGCGTGCATGCGTGTGGAACCGTGTCTCTGTATCTCTGTTGTGTGTGTGTGTGCATTTGTTTGTCTGTGTGTGTGCCTGCGTGTGACTCTGTGTGAATCTGAGTGTGTTGCCTTTACAGGGGACAGGGATCAGGGAGAGAGGTGTGAGTGGCAATGCACATAGAAATTGCTCGCCCATTCCTCCATTCAGTTGCATTGTTGTTCGGGGCTGAATCGGTGCTTCTCCTTTTGAAGGATTAAGTTAAGTGTTTCGGCTTGGTACGGTAGGCAGTCTGAGAGACGTATTACTCCTTGAGAAGAAATTGAACCCTCTGCACCACCCCGTCTCTGAAAGATTGTTCCACCGGAAGGCGCCGATACCACCTTTGAGAGGGACCTTCCTGATAATTAGAGGAAGCCTACACTTACCGCTGCCTGCAATCATTACAAGACTGTGTAGCAGAGGTACTACGGAATGGGAAGTGCCATCGTTGCATGTCTCTCCGTCGTGGCCGCAGAGATTTTATCCGCACGTGCAATGCGGCGGGCACTCAAGGCCCGAAGCGACAGCTGCGATCATGTGTAGTGCGTACTACAGTACAAGCCACGGGCTTAGCTGGGATCGGCATAGCGCGAATACACACATGACATCATGACCTCATTAATATTGTTGACAGTCATGCCCATCGCCCGATCGCCATAAGGCTAATCGTAGCAGTTTGAACAACTACATAGCGCTTATACAGCATGGCGTCGGATAGAAGGAGCATGATCATTATCCGCAGTGCTCCGGGTCATTCGGGCGGGTTGTGGCCAGGGGCTCCCAGCAGGATGCAAGTAAGTAGGAGGCTCAAACTCAAAGCTCCAAGACCCTTCTGAAAGCTGGTCCCGGGATGTGCTCCAAGGTTGATCATGAAGCCGTGATTCTGGCAAAGCTACTGGGGCAAGTGGGTTCAACTGCCGGGCTGAACTCACTAACTCGAAGGCAGTTTGGGATCATCTTGTCCGTTGCGACAGCCCGAAACTGATGCACCTTTGCTACACCCTATACTGCCTATACTCCTTCCATTTCATGTGAGATCCCAAGCTCAGACGCCCCCACTTCGAGCTGCCTGTGCAGGCAAAGTCTGTCTCGAAGCTCGTGCCAGTCGTGTCGGCGGGAGAGCTGCCAGTCGTGGCGGCGGCAGAGCTGCCATAGCTTGTGCTGATGATCCTGATTTCACAATTTAAGACCTTTCATCGCATTCCAAGAGGCAATACGCAAATCAGATTCATGAGCTGAAACGGGAGGATGTTACGCTTCTCTTACCGGGCCCGTGTGACGATGCACGCAGATAGAGAATTGGACAGTCCAGATTCGGAGCACGACACTGGAGTGTCCAAGCCGGTTGGAAATCCCCAAATCCTAAACCATCAGATGCCGTGCCATAGCTCTTGGCGGGTGCTGCCACAAAGATGCGCACCTGGCTTGGTACGAGTAAGCTCGGCGTGGAGATCGAGACATCAGACCCCCAATCTGCAGTTTGGCTTCATCCGGACAGAATTGGTTTCTAAAGTTCTCAGTGCAATGAATCTATGGTCTCCCCGCCGGATGCTTTAACCGCTCATCGGTTGGCACAGCGCCGAACAAGTCCTGTGTTCCTCCCGACACGGCACCAAACTCTTAACCAACTTCGAACGGGCAGTGCACACTTCCGCCTCTTCCGAGTTCCTCTGCAAGTTGCAGAGTATTGCTAAATCCGAGCAACATTGCAAGTTGTTGCTAGTCCAAGGCTACTGCCTTATTTGCAATTTTCAACCTGGTTGTCAAGTAGTTAATCACTCCAGTCATTGGTGGATTTCTGAAATACCCACCTGAAGGTCACTACAACGGTCCAAAGTACTATCGCGAGTGCCGGCCTCGGCAACTTTCGTTGCTTGTTGCCTTGGGGTTTGAGATCGTTAGGGGCGCAAGGGGCTCAGCCGCGGGATCATTCGCAGCATCAGAAATGCAGTGGCGGCCTCTTGACCTAGATCTCATCCTGCTGCCAGCCATAAGTGATGAGGGAGCGATGGACCTATATGTGGACCCGGAATGAATTAGCAAGATTGCCTACTTGCGTATCTGGTCTCTCAACCACCTGATGTAACAGAAACTAAGTCAAGTCCTTGACTAAAACAATGTAGTTATCCTGCAGTTCTCCAGTGGTCGGTTGTCGTGGGTACCGGCCTGGTGTTGAGAGTGAGGTTGACACTGTAAACCCCACTGAAAACGTAAACCCCAAGCCCTTCAAGTCAAGCCCTTGAGAAACTCCACATCGTAACCCAAGCTGTCAAGGACCAGACAGACAGCTCAGTGTCTTACCATGCCCGAGCCCACCCAGAAAAACACCACACTATAAACCATCAACTGGACCCCCCAAACCTGTAAACCCCTGACCCCGTCAACCCTCCAACTCACCTTAAGAGGTACAAGAACCATCGGCCTGTCCGTTTCGGCTCTCGTGTGCTGGGCGCTTTCTCGCTGGTCTCCACCTTGCCGCTTTGCGACGGTGGGCCTAGGTTTGGGGTTCAGGGCTTTGGGGTTTCGGGTTCTGGGTCTCACAAAAGGGTGGTATGATTGGAGCGGCTTAGGGCTTGAACAAGGGGGGTGAAAGTAAAGGTTGGTGTTATGGCATGAGAAGTGAATTCAAACTGTAGAGCTTGGGCTAGAAAGGTGTAAACGGGTATAGGCGATATAGGGCTAAAGCCTTCAAGGGCCCTCCCACCGAAAAGTCAACATGGAACCTCACCCCCCGGTCCCCGGTTGAAAGCCTGCGCCGCCTATTCGGGATTCCGCGCTCTAAAGGCCTAGACTGGCACTTGTACTAGCAGATGCGTTAGCAGGTAAGAGTTTTCCCCACCACAATTCTTTGGTAGTTGCTAATTAACGTAAACAGTCACTTCTTGCCGAGGTTTGCAACATCAATGCTGCTTGGGTACGCAACCTTTGGGCAGCACGCGGAGGGTGTCATTCTCAACAACTACGAAGCTTGATTTGCAAATTTTTCAACTGCGCGCAGTCGACAAGTAAACTCCATGAAACGTGGTTTTGTTCAGCTTTAAGGCGCCACGGGGCTTTGCTGGCAGTGTTGTGCCGATGCCATGGAATGACATGAAGGGAAGGTTGTGTTTGGCCGCGAGTATGCGATGGTCGACAGCGAAATTCGCCTCCCTTTGCGCCGCCTTCGTCCCTCCAGCGGAAATCAGGACAACAGCGACATGCTTGCGAACATAGCCCGCTTGGGCATGGGCTTCGCCAACGTTTTCAGCACGCCTCTCATGTTCAGCGGTCTTCGCCACTGGGCTGATCAGCAAGGGCGCCTTTCGACTTTCTGGAAGGGACTTCTGGCCTGACGGTCGTTTAGATTCGTGGAATGGTTTGCGTGGCAGCGCTGGTGAGTAAACACATAGAATTCTGCACCCGCAACATCCACGACCTAGCGGAGAATTACCGGTCCGAGTGACCGCTCTTTTGATCAACACCAGAAAGCACAGTGATCATGGGCTCTCCCTCCAATCTCTTTCCATCTCTCTCAATACGTCTTGGCGTTCGGGAAAGGCATTCGGGAAGGTTCTAACTACCGTGATATGCTGCAGTATCTCATCGTACCGTGGTTTGTTGGACCGGACATAAGCACTCAACTTTCACTCTGTGCTTCCTTCGCCTATACCAAACCGTCTTACAGTTGCCCATGATCTTTCAAGCATGTCTTTCTGACCCATTGGTGTTTGGAGTGTAGTGTAGAGTTTGGGTCCAGGTGATCAAGACATAGCGCCCATCCCTTCCTTCGAGTTTAAGCTTCTAAGCCTTGAGAGGCAAGCGTAAATCAAAGCATCCAAGGAGAAGGCGTCCTGGCTGTACTCAGCCACTTCGCCCCTGAGCAGGAGGACATGAGATGCACATCGAGGGTATATGCTCCCAGAGCTTTGAGGGTTCTGGGTGAGTATGGGTTTTGGGTACATGGGGTTTGCATAGCATTGGGTTTACATATCTCACGTGACTGTTGTCGCAGACAGCCCTGGGAGGTGGCGGGCCAGGTGGGGGGGTGGGGGGGGGGGTGGGGGCGGGGTAGCAGCACGGGGCCCGAGACCATGAATGTATGTTTGGTTGGAGTTGGGGATTCAGGGATACTGTCTGCGAGCCTTGTGATTATTAGGACACGATGTGGAAACATTAAAGCGGCGACTGTACCATCATGATCATCAGCATTGGCGTGCTTCTCGTTGGCCACCAGCGGCAATTCGTACCATCAACTACAACAGCTAGTTCTCCAATTAGCACGACGAGCGACCCCCATTATGGAGCTCAAGAGCCTAAGCTCCACTTCGCGGAGGAACTCTACAGCCAGGTATGGTTCCAGAACACCCTGAGCGCGGCACTTCTTTCTGATTCCTGGCAAAATATAATGATAACTGCTGGATGTCTAAATGGTTTGACATAAACTTAAAGTCTTTGCGCATATGCTGTGTGCTACCTGAAGGTCGATGTGCTGTGAGACCCAAGTCTACAAAGTGATCCTCCAACACAGAGCCTCAAGTCAAGAGCCAGCGATCACCAGATATCTTGTGTCAGGAATCAAAAGGCCTAACCACAGCCACATGTTCCATACTATGAGTTCTTGCCGCTAGAAATTCGAATAAAGTGGCAGGCAAGTGGCAATTGTAGTTCGCTGTTCTTGCCTGGTGAGCTTTATATCAAGTGTTCACAAGCATACGCATGCCGCTCGATTTCTTTCTGCGTACTTAATCTGTATGTTTGTGATTATTATTGTTATTATTATTATATATTATACATGAACACATATGCAAAAGAAGTGTTTGTTCAGGCTCAGGTGTGAGTGCTCGCTTCAAGTTTTCAGTCCAATATCGTGCTGAAGATTGTTTCTGATGCAAGAGATCATGATGATAATGATGCTGATGAGGAGGAGAAAGAGGAGGAGGATGTCGATGACAGTCAATTAGCAACGGCTGTATGAGTAGATATTAGCAGTCTCAGCAGGACTAGCATCAGGCATATTGAACAAGAAGGAGTGCTGTTTATTGTCGGAAGTCACGACACTTTGCAACGGCTGAAGCCCGCAACTCTGGACTTTTCGCCATCACCTCGTGTTTGGACGCGACAAGACGACTCGGGGATGCCCAGCCTGAGTGAAGTCATTGCATCACAATGCAACTTTGATTTGTGGAGCCCCGAGCACCGGTTCAGAAGTGTTTCGACGCAACTCTCAGACGAAATCCTGTTCGCGACTTAGAAATACCATAGCCACAAGAGCAAAGCCTAATTTGAATATTGTCCCGGACAGATATGCACCTGTCCTGTGCCACTGAGCTCGTGGCGGTCATCGCCATCATCGTCACTGATGCCAGCATTGTGATCGGTTTGGTGGGAGCTATTTGTGGCTCCGCAATCATCTATGTCATTCCGCGCCTTGGGCCCAAGCTCGCATGACTATAAGGTTTCATTGACTAGGTCATATATTCTCCCAAGCCCAGGTCTCGAATCCGAGTTCTATGAGAGTGACTGGTGTGCAAGTATGAGGACGGCCAACAAAACTCAGAGAAAGACAGTCCTCATATTCTACTGCAGCTGAGATTAGCGAAGAAGCCGTGACTCCAACAGACCACGACCAGCGCAATTCACCGCTTGCAACTGCAACTTTTACCGCTTCTCTAGCAACGCAAGCAAGGCCAGTACTTGCGAGCACGAGGTGCGACTACAGCAGCAGCAGCAGCAGCAGCGGTCACCTTCATCACGGACGTCATGATCATTGAAGAAACCGCGTATGTACTTTAAGGTGCTTTAAGACTCGACTTTTACGTGTTTGGACCGTTTGGCGTGCATCGCTCTCCGAACCGAAGCCCTTCACACCAGCTGTCCTATGCCGATTGAATCTACGCTCTAGAAGCTCGAAGCTGGTGCCTCGCCCCGGTGAATCCGATGCACTGGGTGCCATCGATGCAGCGTTCAGATGTCGCAGACAGATAAACATAGCAGTCGAAAGAGCTTTTCTCTTTCTCTCTGCCTCCCTGTTTCGAAATGCATCGTGCGACAAGCGTGCGACACTGCACGGGGCTCAGGCTTGCTCGTCTGTTCCAGCGCTTGGTTTTGCAGGTGCTTCCTCTTCGACGCAGCGACGAGTAAGTTTCTAGGCCGGCCCGCCTCTCTCAGTATGTGACTCGATATGTCTGAGGGGCTCCTTTCGGCTGATGGGCTTCAAGGATCCATGGTTTGAGTGCCAGGTTCCAGGCATGGTGGTCTCATGCCTCGGGCCTTGGGGACGAGGGGATATACCTTTCCGGCTCCTCCAAGAAAGAAAAGCCTGCGAACACTTACAGCTGGCAGTGTTTGGGAACTGCCTCGTCGAACCGTAGCGGCTGCCGTAGCGCACCTTCAAGCTTTCGGAGCTTTCGGAACGGGCAGGTCAGGGCGACGACCTGCACCATCCGCTGGCCGCTTGTACCTGTGCAAAGATGAAAAATGAGATGTGCTTATGGGAACCCAGGCAGTCGAAGGTAGGTTTGCTAGAGTTGATGTGTACAAGATCAAGATCTGCAGGCTTCTCGCGGGAATGTGTCAAACTTAAGTGGAGTTTCGTGAACATCAGAAGTGGGCATTCATGTAGTACTGCTTCAGCAACAGCGACTACTATGTACTTGTACTGTGTTCGTAACTTGTTCCAACAATTTCGTCCTTCGTGTTGCGACCTGATGTTCAATGATTCAATACTGGTAGAAGTGCCCACCATTTCGTAATACCGTAATACTACTTGGTCAGGTTAGTTCTGTACCGAATTGAGTTCCCATCATCTTGATTCCGTGCACAAACTCCTCACACATTGCCGATGTGCTATGTGCATCTCAGGAGATTTATTTGGTGCGTGGAATTGGCCTTACGGGCGTCTTCGTCATGAGTCCCGGCAGAGCTTGGTATGGTTACCACAGTTTCTCAATGTTGGCATCGAGCACAGCAGTAACAGTGGCAGGCGCATGCAGGGACCCTAGCAGTATCAAGGAGGGGCTTCGACTTTCGATGCCAAAGCATTACGCGGATGATCCCTCCGTTTCTGAACTTCCATGCTAATCACACTTACACTGCTATGCCACTGAAACCCTACAGGAATCCCACGCAGAAAGCGGAATCCATGTTGCCGTGACCGAGTCTTTCAGCCTAGGGCCAGCAATCAGAAGCCTGTGGCGATGGGTGTTTCTCTATGGCTTCCAAACAAACGGGTTACAGGCCATGGACGGCACTTGCACAGAAGCCGCAAACCGGCTGCCAAACATCAGGCTTAATGCTCTGTCGAAAGTCAATTTTGAAGCCTATGCCATCACCAAGGTAATCAGCCAAAGAAGACGAGTTTAGAGTTGCAAACACCTCGTGGGCCGAACCCGTGTGGAACTTGCAGCGTTACCAACAGCATAACCAGGATGTGTTTTCGAAATTTAGGCTTTGATGTTCCAGCAGTCAGCAAGCCTAGTTTCAAACGGCTGTGACATTCGGGAAGCAGCGAAGCCAATGCAGGACAAGAGGAAACAAACAAAGGCCTGCTAAAGCAGTTGAGGTTCATTCCACAGCTAAGCACATAATCTTTAGTTTGATGAGTCTTAACAGTAGAAATCAGGGTGTACTAGACCCTAGTCCTAAGTGTTGAAACCCTAAGGCTTTTCAATTCCTTCCGGCCCTTCAGCTACGCTAGCCCCAGGATTGCCGGCTCGGTGGCGACCCTGTGCCTTTGAGGCCACCCCGACGGGGGAGTCTTGTGGAGTCGAACATAGTAAAGTAGATATGCACATGTAATCGCAGAAGCAAGTTTTTGTTTTGGAGGATTCAAAAATTTAGAGGTTTGGGGAGTCGGCCTCTGAAAACCTGCGATTGGGACTTGCAGGCTCCATGAGCCAAGCACAAGGCCCACGTGCATATGGGAGAATTACAAAGAAACGACATATAACACCCGAGTATAAGCAGAATAAGCCCATCCGTGGCATCGCCGTGGCATGTACACATGTGTCCACAGATGGAATTAGGATGAGGGCTTAAGGATTGACGGTTCTGTGTGAGCATTATGGAACCCTGTACAGAAATGCGTGCAGTCGATTTTTGTTATAACTTCACTGAGATAGGCAATCTTCCTTCTGGGGCGCGATCTGCAGGCCTTGCGCCTGCTGCCGAGAGCTAGTGACCTTTGGCTCCAAGAGTGCCCACTCGCCTAAGAAGAAGCAAAGGACAAATCAACCAAGGCGGGCAACACAGCACCACGTGCAATCACCCCGTGCTTTTGCAGGGGCAACTTGCGGTTACACATGTTTGTGAAGCGTTTGATCTGGTTTATGTGGTGCTACACGGCGACCGCCCTTCCCGTATCTGGGCGTACATATTAGCCAGACCTATTTCACTCGAATTGCATGGAGTGCAGAAATAGGCAAGCCAGCAGAAGAAAGCACAGTCTTCCTTCCGGCAGACTGCACACCGTCACCTTTATGCGCAGTCTTGCTGCTGGCTTCACTACAGCACTTTGCGTGCTCGTGTCCCGCCAGGCTTGGGGGACCTAGAAGGCAAAGCCATGGATTGGGGCGGAGAGCAATTCTGCAGCTGCTTACCCGAAGCAGTAATGAGGTCTGAAGCATTGAATCGTGGATAGGATGTGTCGGCAATCATATCGCAGAGGCTTCCCGTTCCTACATCCACGAGCAGCACAGCACCCACAAGTGTCGCACGCGCTGCCTGCAAGCCAGTCGAATTGCCGACAGAACACATCAAGAAAAGAGATGGTGTTGCTTGCCTTGAGTGCCCAACTTCTGCGTAAAGCTGCACCTGGTTTCTCCAGGATTCTAAGATCCCGAACCCTCCTGTGTGAGCATCGAAAAACCCTACAATTCACGCCGAAAGTCTCGGCCTGTAGTCGTTGATCTTCTTCCCATACGGGTCCATAAGCTGGGATGTCGCCAGAGCTCTTGGTTTTGCAGCTGTGGCGCCCAGACATGCTTACACAGTACTTAGTAGACACGCATGAGTCTATGCTCGCAAGTGTATGTATGTGTATATACACAGGTTTATGTGCATATGCATACGCACGTACATGTGCTTAGTGTATATGCACGGGCCATCTATGCACACAAAATACACATTGTGAGAGGCAGTGCTTACATTAGCGAATGCCTACAAGACTTGAGGCAGCTTGTTCTACAAAGCTTTCAGATGGCATGCAGGCTGGTGCAAAGATGCAGTAGCGTCTGTGCGGCAGCGTATGTGGGATGGCTTAGTGCTGCTCTTTCCGACCACTTTGCCTCAGCACGCTTTCAAAAAGTTCTCAGGTCCTCCGTATCTTGCCGGTTGCCCCTCAATGTGAGATCCACGGCCCGCTTTGAGCCCATGTGTGGTTAGGCGGAAACTTGGTCCCACAACAGAAAGGCCTGAGCTTGGCAGACTTTGTGTCGTTTCCGGCTGCCATGACCACGCGAGAACGTTGCCGCTAATTCCTGCAAACACTCCTCAGGCACATAGTGCCCTGTCAAAGAGAAAGCAACCAAGGAACTTTGCTCACACCTTCTGCCGGCAAGCAATTCGTAAATAACCTAAAATTAGACAGCAGCAGCGGCTGCCCCTCACGGATATAACCAAAGCAGGCAGCCCGGGCAGCCCGAAGAAAAAGCACCCACCCTCAGTGCAGAGGGTTGGGCCACCTACACTGGAAGTGAGAGTTTGATGAGTTGAAGGCCATGAGAGTCAACTCCTAAAGCCAAGCATGCATTAGGAAAGTCTAAGCCCATAGAAGGACCTTAAGCCCCAAATCCGAAGAAGCCGCTTCACTCATGGACGGTATCGGTGTGCATTGCTGGTGGCATGGGTAGAGGCGGCTTCGCGCTGCACCCAGGCTTGACATACGATGCCGGATTGCCTGTTTTGGGGGGACTGCTCAACTTCATTTTGCGGGCCATTCCTTTTATGAAATTTGGCAATTGTCAAGGAACTTGTATCGAGAGTTTGGAGATGCGGGGAAAGAGCCGGTGCGAACATGGTAAAACGGTTGATGCCTAACGTTTGTTCGCTGCTCGCATCTGATGGGAGACGTATTTCTACAGAGGCTTCATTCAGGCGTTCCCGTGGCTTGAACATGGATGAGCAGATGCAAAATTGATATGATGCTCAGAGACTGAAGAAGCTGGAGCATTCATTGCTGGACGCTTTCCAGGTTACGAGCACTGCGCCAGTTACATGGCATGTCCTCCATCAGTGCACATAGCACTACCATGATAAGTCCCCTGCCGAATCAAAAACTCCGCAAAAAGCCACCGACATCCAATGATCAAAGGAACACCGGTGCTTACCGTGAGCTGCGCACGAAAGGAAAGGGCAAGGGCAAGGGATCCAAAGGCGGCAAGGCCGGGAAAACAGGGCTGGTGTTCTAACTAACAGAATCTAAGCAAGCTGGCCAAACTGACGGATTCCAGTTTACAATGCTCTCTGGGCGTGAAATCTCAAATGCGAGATTGGTTGGGGCTGCCTGGGTTTGGGATGACCAAGACACTGCACTTTTTCTGTGAATTCGGCGAGCTTCTCTTGCTCCAATGCTGGGATTTGGGACACTTGACCCTTGAAGTGTAGTGTGGGGGGAACTTTAGGAAGCACTAGAGCCATGACCCACTGCCATCACGTGAATGCATAAACTGACGTTGTGTTGTGCCCCGTTTCCCGATCTAGACATAACACTAGGAAGTCAGTCTCCCTGAAGCCGAGCCTCATGCCATCATGTGATTTTCGCGTGTTTAGTGGCTTTGTATGTGCATCCTCGTTTTTGATGGCTTCTGTCAGGGCAGCGGCAAGTCAAAAAGCAAGCTTGCCTTTCAAAAGAAGCTGCTCAAGAAGAAGGCTCAGAAGGCAGATCGCCATGCATTCCCCCAAAGTGATGGTGGTTGCTGGCTCGTCTGGCGAAGAGTTCAATAGTCGCACAGCACGTAGACGTACCGGTGCATGGCACGGGCCAGTTCCGGCCCGGCCCGAGCGACTTCAAGTTGGGCTATATGTTACTTGTTGAATGTACGGGAAGTCTTTTGTATGACGTTTGTGGGTGCAGTGGGGTAGGTTGCTTCCATGGGTCTATTGCCTCTTTTGGGATTGTGTTGTTCTTACGAGCAATTAGTGTTGAAACCTGTTGCTTGATGAAGGCTGGTATCGTTGAAGGTGGAGTTACATCGGCTCGTTGGTGCCTGCCGTCGTTTGGCACTGTGCGAGAGCGTTGAGATGGGATTCCAGGAGCAGGTGTATTTGGATTGTTCTGATGGATCAGCGGACCGGTTGTTGTTCGCTTCCGTCTATATAGCTGTATTGACCACGAGAGGTTATGTAGGATCACTCAGACCGAGCACCAGTGCCCAGGTATCTTCTCATGATAGGCCTTGCGCCTGGAGCCGAAATCAGTATGCAGAGCAAGGTTGCACACAGGTCAGAAACGAACTGTAAGCCGTGGACCAAGTCCCCGGCCCTAACTTCCAGAGCCTCCAGGCCGAGGCGAAGAAGAATGCTCCTCGGTTGCTCTTATAACTTCGGTGCATTCCAGGGGGGATCGTGGTGGCACCCTCAAGTCAGTGCCGGGCGTTGTCAAGATCATCATATGTCGCAAATACAGGGATTTTGCAATACTACTGACGGCAGTAGCGGTGCGAACAAGACGAACAAACATAGATGAGGCTATGATAGTGGCGGCCATCGAACCTCGGAGCAGCAGACTGCCTATAACTTGGAAGACTATTGACCACATGCACTTTAAACCGGTCGTGTTGCTTGTTACGTTGCGCAGGCTGCCCTGTCAAACTGGGGGCTGCAGAGCTTTCTGCGGGTTTGGGACGTGTCAAGGGGTTTCTTGCGTTCAGGTTTCTTACCCATTTGGGTTTAAGGTATCTCAGACTGAGAGAACCCGTGAGCGAAACCCCGATGACGACCCCTTCCTTGCTCCTTATGTACACATCCTAGACCCTCCGATGTTTGCATTGACAAAGTGCAAGAGCCCTTCAATGTCTCCTTGCGAGCTTCTTACACATCCCTGCTAGTGGCTTCGAGAGAGCCCCACTTGTTGCAAAGGCCCAGCAGGAGTCCTCGGATGAGGAGGTTGACACCCAGGCTGCTGGGCTAAACTCATGTGCGGTTGAAAGCTAGCATTAGTTATAATTAATCTTGTGCTGCAACATGTGCCCCAAGCCGATGTTTCAGGGTTGTGGTTGAGCTTTGGGAATTTTGGCTAGCTGGTTTGCGGTAGAGAGTTTGCGTTGGGGATTTGTGTCTAGTGCATGGCTGGGGCCCAAGCACGAGGGTTTAGTTCCACGCAGCTGTAGCTGAGGAATTTTTGCATCTTGGAACTGGCGGAAGCTGTCGGTTCAGGTCTAAAGGCTTGGGGTGCAAGGCTCTTCCAGATGATGTAGGACGGGCCTGCTTCTGTGCTGATGCAACCGCACAACTCGAAGCTATCCAGCATATGGACGCGTACTGCAAGCAAACGGCACCCAAGCCCCAGCAAAGATGAACCTAAATGGTCCGAAAAGCCTAGCTGCCTACATCAGCAAGTCCATCCAGCCCAGCTTCGGATCCGTCAGGATGTTTTCTGGCGACCGACCTGGGACACACTGGGCCCTCTTCAGGAGTCGGCTCAAACACTCCCGCAGTTTCGGATTTTTTCATTTTTGAAAGATTCACTACGTTGTAGTTCCTTGAGGGTTCCCTCTTCATGAATTCCGTTTCCAGGGAGTTTTTTGCTTTACCGCGCTTAAGCTTGGGAGTCTGTGCCCCCCTGTGAGCGCTGCTTGCCTCCGTCCGTTCTCTTTGCCAGCGACCACCTTCACGGGCGTCGTCATCAGCACCAACCAAAACCGTAGCCCACCGCAATGGGAGTAACTATAGGATCGCAGCTGGCACCAACGTGTGCCTAAGCCCTACAGGCCCTCAATGCCCTACACCCAGGAGGTGAAGGATAAGGGCGACATGAACCGATTGGGTCGGAAGCGGGAGAAGGCAGCGGAGGTTCTCGTGGTCACTTTCGGAGTATCTCCACTTTGCATCGTGTTGGTATCCCGTATTTATTTATTTTTAGCTCGATTGGTAGTGTAGGTTTAGCCCTCGAGCCCCAACCTAGATATTCTGCTTGCAGCTACGGTAGAACTGTTGCAAGCTCGAGCGACTGCCGCCATGCCGACTTAGCACAAAAAGCCGCTTGCGACATCTTGCGACTGCTAGTGTTCAGCAGCATTTGTTGCAGACGGGCAAAGACGACTTTGGCTTCGGCGTGCCTTGGGCGGTGTTATTGGTGTTTGCTTGAGGGTTTGAACTCAGGGTGTAGGGTTTCCTGTAAGTCAGAAGTGGCGGGTCCTAGGTGTCCAAACATGTCCAAGCATTCCCCACAGTCAGTGAGCCAAGAAGGGTTTGCTAGTTTCAGGGTTTTTCTCGGGTTTCGGGCCGAGGTTTCAGGATTCCGGTTTAGCCCTTACAACCCTTGCTGTTTGCAGGCATGAGTTTATGGCTACCCTCGCTCTGTTGATGTTAACTTTTGACAGGGGTTGAGTAGGTCGAAATTGGCATGTGGTGGCTCATGGCCGAAGGCTTGTCATGCAGCCCAACCATGAATTATCTGGTTCCTGTTGATTCTGCAACCCATCCCACAGAAGTGGGGTGCGTGTCTTTGCTTCTCGTGCGGCTCCTCGTTCGGCGCAGCTCGACCAGACCATAGCCAGAATCAGGAGAGACCTGGTAATCGGCCCCATGTCGGGGAGGACACCAGTCATTTTGAAAAATGGAGAAAGCAGTGGAGTATGAGTCAGTGTTCTTTGGTTTTCATCGTAGCAATAGCCAAACTCCCACAATACGGCTTGGACCTCAGGCCTCCCCATGATAGATAGGCAAGACACAGAGAGTTGTTCGTCGTACTAACAGCGCAGCACAAAGTAATTAGTTCCAACACTGCCAACGGAGAGAATGTACAGCTCCCGAGCTAGCGTACAGGCCCCGAAGTGGCTGTCATGGTGAGGGGTTTATCATAGTGGACTAGATCTCTGACTTCCGACCCCCGTCCGCGAAACTGCTACTCCATACCAGGTTTTGCTGAACCGAGCACCCGTCCTGCGATCCAAGAAGAGCCTGGAAGCGTGGGGGGCTCAAATGGCAGCAGCTGCAACGCAGGAGGGAGCGTGAAAGTTCGACCCTAGCCCTAGCTGCAGTGAAGTGGGCGCAAAGGCTCCAAACAGGAAGCTCAAATCCGTGAGCCGATGTTAATACTGTTAGGTGTGGGAGGGTTATTCATGAGTCTTCCCTGCTGTCTAGTGCAGGTAGCCGTGTGTGACTCACCCTTCCTGCTCCCCCTTGCCCCTCAGTTGCAGTCTTTGAAAGTGTGCCAAGGTCGAAAGAGGAGGCAGAAGCAACGGAGCCCGGGCAGAGCTGCCGAGTTGCAACAAAAGAGTGTACGGCGTGATGAAACGGGTCCTTTTTTCCAGCAATCATCGGCTGTAAATTGGATAACTCACTAGTTTTTCGAGGTGTTGCAAAGTCGAATGCGGTGAGCAACAATCTGAACGCCTTACTCCTTCATGTGTACTGCCGTTCATGCTTGCCGATGTACAGATATCCATCGTCAATGCTCTATCCGTATTTCTGAGACCGGCAAAGCTGATGTTCACGTCTTGTTCTATTCCCGCTTGCCAAAGCAGGCTGAGGTCTAACGGTCTAAGTTGGAAATCCTTGCATGAAAATGGCAAGGTGGTTTTCGAGTAGCAGGCAGGGAGTGCTCGCGGGCTGGAAATGTCCAAAACCCTATCGCCAAACCGTCGAGAGTAACTTCGTTTGAAATCTAGAACATTTCAGTATCTAGACACTCCGATGATCGACAAGGCCGCGAAAGACCAACTGTGTCAAAAGCGCCTCCTGGTCGCGTCTTCGGGAACCCAGGCCGCCGTGCGAGAGCACAGAAGCGGAGGAGGCAAAGGAAGCTCCTCGCATTGGAGGCACCGAAGTGCAGTTGTCATGCATGGTTGTGGGCCTTGGGATGTGGAGGATTATACGGGCTGCGGTTTGCAAGGATGATTGACGGAGGTCAGTCATATGGCGTGTGTTGGCAATGCTACAGCAGCAGCATCGACAAGATTCATGAACCGAGATGGCACGTTCACAGCACACAATGTCGTGCGAAACGCCTTGTTTCATGCTCGTGTGGTGGTTTGTATAGATTCCTTTCTAACGGGTTCTTAGAATTTAATGAGGATCTTACCTTTTATGTTCTATATACCAGGATACCCGCTGGTATGAAAGCAAAGTTTGGCATCTTATCAAATGCCGCCTGCGCAGCCCAGAGCGTTTGAGTCCAGTTGAAAGCATCTTCCTCAAATTAGCCTGCCTGCGTGTAGCTTCGTGCGATCCGTTCCTCCTCACTTCGGTCTGCTCAACTTCTGACCAGTGTGATTTTGATACGGAACAGACTTTGCATGGCGCAATCCTCGTCGGCAACGGTTGCAGCGCTGGCGCATGGATTGATTTGCTCACATGTGGCGCTGGCCTGGAGGCAGAGCTCGCGGTGAATAGCTTTGCGCTGAGGCTCTAAGGACTCGCAGTTTAAGGCTTTGGGGCCCCAATACTATACAAGGCTTTTGGGCGATTTTGAGGCTTCGGGTTTGGAGAGTTTTGATAAGCGGTATGCCACCGCCAAAGCAGTCGACATAGTTTCTTCTGCCGTAATATCTCAATGACAAAAACCAGAAGAGTGCTACACACAGTATCCGCAGCTCTATATTATGTTGCTCTGTGATGCCCGTAGTGCCATAGCGTACGAACGGCCAAAGAGACTCTTCTGTTTTCGGGTCTGTGTGGCCTTCTTGACATAGCACGTAAGAGCGCGAGCCTTATATTGATCCTTTGAATCATCATCCTTGCGCATCTCTGCAAGTCCTGTGGCCTCGGACTTCGCCGCCGCAGCACTGGCAGCCCGCAACGACTTCCGGTGGCGGGCATTCGAGACATCAGGCAGGGTTTAGGCTCCAGGTCCTGGCGGCCTCAAGCTTTCCTTCAGGAGGCTTCCATGGTTCACAATTCTTCGCGCAAGAGTGTCTCGAACTGCAGCGATGCAAAGGTCGGGGATGCTGCCCTGCTTTGTAGAAACTCCGTCTGGCTTCATCGGCGGCATCTTTGTACCGTGAACCGTCCCTTCAGTCTGCTACAGTACTTCCAATTACCAGGTTTGCTGATGGCTTCCCAGCCCCTCTTGCCAAGAACGACGCTGAGTCTTGCATGGTGGAACTGTCCAAGCAGGAATCTGGAAATGTTTGAAGACGGCAGCATGCTAAGGACCTGGTGAATCCGAGTAAGGTTTGGGGCTTGTCGCAGATAGCCACGTAATCGGAGACCGCCTCAGTGCTGGAAGCCGTTGGTTCCAAGCCCTTCTCTCTAAACAGTCACGCCGTTATACGCCGCTGTCCTCTGCGACAGGATACCGTTTTCCTGACGAGACCCACTTCGACGAGCTGGACTGGTTCCTTGGATTTCCATAAACGGGGCACCGTCAGTTGTTTCCGCAGGAAGAGCCGCTTCCCGGCTGATGCACTTGAGACTTTCCGGTTGTGAGGTCAAGACCCGTCTCTGCTCTTCGGTGACCTTACTTTTTGCATGCGCACCTGGTGCACACTGGCATATCAAAACAGAAGGAGTGCAGCACTGACGAGAAGTAGGCTTTCGTTAGATGGCGTGACTGGGCCATTCAAAACGCGAGCCAGTGATGCAATCTGTGGAGAGGTGGCACGATGTAGATGTTGCTGGAAGGACCCTCACGGGCTATGGAATACGACTGACACTACTTCATACTACTTCGCAATCCTTTCCTGAGGAACACAGGCTTTGCAGAGCTTTGGCTTTATGCTCTGCGTGCAGCTCGTTTGGCACTGCCGCAGCTTGTCTAGACAGCTGGTTGGATAGTGCAGGAGTGACCAAAGAATCGAGCTGACCGAGCTGGTCATGTATTGGACGTTGATTGAAGTTGGGAAGATCGTAGGAAAGACAGGCTCTCGCGCTTGCAGGGTGCAGTAGGTTCACGAACGATTGCATCTTGCACCTTTTGCTCCTGCAGTTTCTTAGTAGGGCTCTGCATGGCGGCCTGCAGCATTCTTCGATCGAGTCTGCAGTAGTGGCTTACGACTTCGACTTCCTGCGTAGGAGTTATAGTCGATCTCGTTGCCTTCTCCTGACGCTCTGGGCAGGAATCAGACTACCAGCTCAGGCCGTAAGCAATTTGCAAACGCATCGTCATGCAAGTTCATCCTCGGGACCTGTGCCCTTCGCCTGAGTAAAGCCAGAATTCCAACAACGTGGATTAGTACTGCCACTTCGATCCGTTCGAGACGCAGGGGTAGTAGAGATTTGCTCAGAGCAAGCCTTGCCACTCAAAAGACCTGCAAGCTTCAATCGGAAACAATGAGCCGTGTAATTAGATCGCACCCAGGGAGTCTGCTGGCGGCCTACTGCGGGCAGCAAAGGAAGTGCGCATAGTGCGGAGTGAGAAGCGACTGTACCGGAGCTTTGTGGCCGCAGGCTGGGTGACGGGTTTTGAGGTCTGACTTGTACTGTAGCTACTACTGGCAGTAGGCTTTGAAGGATGATGGGGCATCAGTTTCTCGAAGTTTCCTATAGGGGAGCAAATTGCTCTGAACATGCGTTCGGTTTCTTTGCCTGGGACTGAACTTGTTCTGAACCGCTGAAAGTGTGCTCGAGGTTGCTCGAGGTCGGGTCACCTATATTACTCATGAGGCTTCAATGAGAAGACGATTGTACCTCGGGTGGGCACACTCGGTTGGAGGATTGCATTCAACTGGTGCCGGCTGGTGCTGATCATGTAACCTCATTTGAGATTATTTGCTTGATGTTATGGGTTATGCTCGGAATGTAGCGACTGGATTCACTAGAGCCCATCGCACAAATAAGAGCACACGCTTTTGCTGGCTCCTGGATCCTAGTCCGGCTACCTTGGGTTCTTCAAGTCGCAAGCAGGCAAAAAAGTCTAACAAGTTTCGGAGAGCATATCCTCAACCCACGTCACGAGAGCATCAACAAGAGTTGGGTCCGTTTACTATCCGTGTCATTGGCGTGCGCGATTCGCTTCCGGTCACCTTAAATGTGGTAGGCAAGGCTTTCGATCGCATTGCCGAGAAGTTGCGGCAGCTCGAAAACGTGACCCTCGCCTTTGGATATCGTCCGTGGTTCGGCTTGCGCAGTGCATTCCCGAGATCTCCTTAGACCTGCCTGGCGTGGGATCGGGGCAAATTATCCATAACAGGGAGGTCTGGAGTGGAGGTGTTGTCTTGGGCCCAGGACGGTTGAAGACCGGACGAGACCGGGTGACTGTGAGAAGCAAAACCCGACTTCATGGGTTAAAGTTCCAGATCCGTGTTCCAGGCTCTCAGACCCTCGCATCTCCTTTGACAGCATCCTCAAGAGACCCTCGAGTGTGGTTATTTCATACATCATTTGATGTCGTGCTCAGGACACCCAGCGTGGCACCCGAAGCCTGCGCGCCGACATCGTCGACCGTCAACAGATGCTCACCTTGGTTTTGTTGTACACACATGTGCACATCATCAGTTGCTTCTTCGTTGGAGTTAAGCTTTTAGAAGCCCTTAATCTTGTGTTCAGCTCAGTTACCGCATCTTCCGAGACTTTCCCAGTTTCTCGGAATGGAACATGCAACTTGTTTGCTTGCCGGTTGCCTTATGTGATTGGTGCAAACACGGCTTGGTTGATTTGAGTCGGAAATGGAATTCGCTTGCAGTAGAGATGTCAAAGGCAATCTTCAGGTCCCCGACGAACTTGTAGTTGGGTCCCCGGATCGTGATCAAGCGGCCTGTACTGCAAGGGGTCTGGAAGGATGCCTTAACAACAAATGTGTGCGCTACACGAGCTGTGTGCCCCGCGGGCAACCGCTCGTAGCACGAATTTCCGTGCGCATGCATGCTTTGGCTGAGTTTTGCAAGTTGAAGTGTGGCTCGCTGATCTCACTGAACTCTGCTGGCTTCAAGCTTTGTCGCAAAAGATTCCGACCAATCGATGCTAACTATTCGGAGCGGTGTTCCGTGGCCTGCGGAGGCTTGGCCCCGATGCTGTGGATATCATGACCTTCGGTTCGACAAGCCGATAATTCCTCCACCCAAAGCCTCCCCGTAAACCTTGGACCTGGAACCAGACCTAAAGAAGCATGTAAGCTCTATGTCGAATCGTTCGGGCATGTCAACTTCTACCGTTTGCAAAGCCACAGAAAGAACCATTTGTCGTTTCGGTGGTCGCGGGCACCAGAGCGAATCTCACTTCTCGCGCTTACTCATGATCCATCATTCCAGAAACCCATCGTTTGCCGCAGAAAATGAAATTGTACCATACCCTCCTGCTTTGGCAAGGAAGCATCCGCCTCTCCAATGACCTTCAGATGCCAGTGGTGGGATTGGGCACAACTATGCTCAACGGTGCGTCTGGGAAGGCGGCCAGCACACACAGTGTGAGAGCACCAGGTGATCATGGACATTACCGTACTCTCCTGTACGAGGTAGTTAACCCTCCGCCTTTCAGGCAAACTGACATACGTGCTAAATCCCGCATTCATGCGACATACCCCTATGGTTGAGAGAGGTAGAAAGATCAAAGTTAACCACTGAGGTGTAGCCGAACCGCAAATGTACATGTCCGTATGCCGTGTAAGACTCTGTCCATGCTCAGTCAAGCGGAGAAATGCAGGAGCAAACGCAGGCACATAGAGCGTGCACCGAAATGGTTGAATATGCTCATGAGCCTGCATCAACTCTGCTCTTGATAATGCAGTGGCATCACTGAAAGCCACAGGCAGGAGTCCACAGTGTCTGGCAGTCCAAATCCGCCCTAGAGTCAAAGTGGATGTCCATGTTTGGCAACGCCAGCTAGTTACAAACCTTCACCTATAGATCCCAACCAAGAAACCCTTGGACCCTTAGCTGCTCCTTCGAACCGAGTCAACTTCACCTGCAAGTCCGAGCTGTGAGAGTGCAAGGCTCTGCGCCTGGATTGCACTCGGCGCTAGACCTTAAGCCCTCAAGGCATGGACCCAGCTACTCGACCGTAAATCTAGCCTGTACTTACCTGCTAACTGCGAGCGCTACTGCTAGTACCACACATGTGCTTCGTGCGAGACCTTGAGACCTCATCTGGCAAGTCCGAGTTCTGAGAGTGTAGATCGCTCCGAAGCCTGGAATCCGATCAGGAGGCCATCCTTGCGGCGCTCCGAGCAGGCTACCGACTGATAGACACGGCGCAGGCCTATGAAAATGAGGCCCGGCTCCGGGCTCCGAAATGTCCAAGTCAGGCGCCTGAGGGGCTACAGCACTTGGAGAATCTGGGAGAGGGCAACTCAGGGTTTGTGCTTCTGATGTTACGCACTGCGCACAGTGCCCCCTGCACCCCCCGGACCCAAACACATCAACACCCCCCTAAAAAGCAGAGGCCGAGGTGGGGGAGGCCATCCTCGAGCCAGGGTCCCCAGCACAGGAGCTCGAAAGGCCTCAGGCGGATTAAGGAACGGTGTGGGGGGTTTAAGCGTGTAGAATTCAGGGTTCAGAGTTGGGGCCGTTGGGGGTGGTGCGGTTGCGATTGTTGACATCATGAGCATTGGGGTTATGGCAGTGTGGCTGTTGCTGCCAGGTGTATTGGCTGCGACCGACCTCCTAGATAGACAGACAAGCACTGTCGTGCATGTGTATGTGTACAAACATGTCCTCTGGACGACCAAGGTCCGGCATCCCTCGCTCAGAGATCTTCATCGCGACGAAGCTGTCGGAAGAAGCTTGGTTCCGGCGCGGGAATGCCATTCGTCAAGGGTATTTCAAGGATCAGAGTCGACATCAAGGCCTGGTTCATTCTGTCAGACTGATTGCTTTAAGCTTCCTTAAGGGTGCCTGCTGTGTCTCGGACTTGAAGTTGATAGGAGCTATGACCAGGAGAGTCAGAGCGGGCTTGTACTCCCTGCCTCCGACATAGCTGACCTTCGAACCGTGACATTGGGAGAAGGAGGCTCTCATGCTCTGAAACTTGTACCGCTGCCTCTCAAGAACCCCAGACTGGAAGTCTCTTTTGTCCCTGCAAATCCATATCCCGAGCTCTGCACCTACTTGTACGTGCTCCTTGCGACTCAGTCGTTTTTGAAATCGTAGCCCCGGAACCAAAGGATGGCGACTGCAAGCCGGGAAGGGCGAAAGCTGCTCGGCAAAGTCCCATCACATGCTGCAGGTGTCAGAGGTCGTAGAATTTGTGTTTCACTTTTGCATAAACCAAGTCCACGATGAACAGCTGCGTGGTTTCGGAGTTTGAGTGGTTCGGGCTTCATCCCTGAGCTCTGTGTGTGTGTGTGTGCGCGTGTGCGTGCGTCTTTTGTTGTTTAATCTCCTGGCCGGCATTGACTTGAGAAGACTTCCATTTTGCATAGAAATAAGACCTCATTAAGCATTGAACGTCCATAAGCTTGTAGACGTGAGCCTGGGCTCTTGGAAAGAGATGCAAGGCACGTGTTCAGGCACAGCTGAAGCTGCTGAAAACGAGCTACGTTGATCAGCGCCTTGTCCTGGAACTTGTCCTCATCAACCATGGTCCGAGGTTGTTCCGGTCCTTACCCAAATTTGTTCACTAGCAATGCTAGCAGCGTGATTTTGCGGTTTGCTTGTGGTGGCATCGACGCTCTCAGCAACCATCCGGACCATCCATGTTTAAGCCCCCGGCGTGCGAAAAAATGCGAGCTTCTACGACAGTCGTACTCCCGCCCCCACCTTGCAACCGCATGCTGCTGTGTCCATTCTTAGCCGTGGTCTCAAGCTAATTTTCGGTCGAGTCTAGTGTCAGTACCCGTGCCTGGGAGAGCAAGCAGCACGTTATTTTGTGCTGCGGTTTCTATCTTCGCTCAGCTTGCTGATAATCCTGATCATGGTTGAGCGATCCGGGTGATCAGGGTCATCATCGTCATGGCCATGCCTGTGGTTCTTCTTGTTCGACATGGGTTGTTACTATTTTGCTGTTTTCTGATTCTCTGGACTCTTGTATGCTATGGCATTATGAGTCCGTCCTTTTGTTGGCGGCACGGGAAGTGTTGTAGAAACCATTCCAGCTATTGCCTGTTTCCTTCCAAGCTGTATTTAGTTTGGAAGGTGTTTCTGGTCATCGTTGTCGTGCTCACGGCAACATTAGTACTTGTATTGGACACAGCAGCAGCAGCAGCTGCAGCAGCATCTTCCTTTCCCAAGGGCCTAGCCGTCTCGTTACATGCTCCAGCTTGCCAGCCTGCTGTAATCATCTCAGCAGGTACATGCTCCATGGACCGTGCCCCGGCATGGTCGGAGCTTGGAAGGCCCGTAAGCATTTGGTACTTTGGGGTTGTTCAGGGATGCAGAGTGTAGTCTTTTTGGCGTAAGGGGTTGGGAGAGGGGGAGATCAGCATGCTTTCGTAAGCCTTGCATTCTGAAAGTAACTACACCTGTAAACCAACAGGCCCGGATTGTTTGGCCAGTGAAGTCATTTCGGGAGTTGGGGCATTGAGGCTTGGAGTTTCAGACGTTGTGCTCCACATTCTTCAGGCAAAGATTTGCACCTACGGGGCCGGATCCGGCTGGTGTCGCTTGAGAATCGTCAGCTGTTCCCGAGTTCGCAATTTGTCTGGATGGTTTCCAACACCCCTTGCTCGATCCGACCCGGTTTGAGCGGTCGCAACTTGATAGCTGAATCCTCGGTTCAGAAGCGCAGAAAGCTAAGCCAAAAATGCAAAGGAAGACGATGCTGTGACAGGATCTCGAAGAACTGTACAATGCTGGAGTGCTGCGATCCCTTGGTGTGTCAAATTTCGACTACACTCAACTGCCCCTGGGGCGAAAAAGTAGCCCTGTTTCGGGTGTTGGGGGTTGGAGATTTCATGGTTTGACCTCTGCAGCTGCCCGATGGCAGTGGCAGCACTGTAGTCCCGGCCCCGAATATATCCTTTATTCCATGCAAACCCGTGAAATCCCTCTGGGTTGCAAGGTTGCGGGGGTTCAATTCTTAGGCCTTCCGTGTCGCTCCGAGGACTGGACTTCTAAGCTTTGTTCCTCGCCCTGGGCTTGAGGGAAAGGGATTGCCTCATACGGACAATGTAGAACCACAGATGCACCCGAACCTGCAACCCGATGTCGCAGTCATCGTGCTTCTGGTTGCGGAAATCCTGAACTCGCTGCTTACACTCGCGAAACGAAGCTCCACGGCAGCCAAGGCAACGTTTCTTGGGGAAGGTTCGCATCGCACCGCACGTGGTGCAGAACAAGCTCTCTGCCGTTATTATACATTAATAATTAATATGGGAACACCGACGAGTTCGAGGATATTGACCGTTTCAGCAGCAGCTCCGGAAAATACCGAGGCTTCCGAAGCTTCGTGACATTCTCAGGGAAATTTGCGATTGAAGTTCGGTGGGATGAAACTATAGGAGTGCGCGAGCCTATGTTAAGGGAGACTTAGGGCGTGCAGGGAATTTCATGATGATCATTTGGGTGGTCTAATTTCCCAGACCATCTTTTTCGGCAGGAGAAGCGAGGGGGGGCTGATTCCAGAATTTGGCAAAGGACAAGCTGAAGCAAAACGACAGCAATCGTTGTACTGTCGATTGTAACCCACTACTCCACAAAACTGGCCAGTGCCCTTGTGTCACTGCACTACTGCAACTATTCCTACGACTGCGACTGCTGCTACTGGTACTGCTTACACAACCACCGTCACATACTTGTGGTTCCGAAGCTAAACTGAACAGCGCGACGAACACATACTGAACAGCGCGACGAACACAAACTGTAGCTACACCTGTCACGTTGTGGTGCTTTGACCACGGAGTCTGGTTCCATTATATCAGTTATGGGGCTGGGCATGTACAAAAATCTTGGATTAAGCCAAATGTGGGCAAGGGCAAGGACAAGGACTCGAATCTAGGAACACCGAGAACGCCCCACCCCACTCAC